CTGACAGAAGGGAAATATATGATGGTCAACTCAAGCATAACAGCAAAAACTCTATATTTGGCTAAAGGGACTTAAATATATCTTTCTATAAAAGGATTCAGCAAAATAAAGATTGTCTTCATGAGAACTTCAGCAAAGCTTAGTGAGTTTGCTTTGGRGCCTATGATATTGTTGTTGGACAGRTTGGTGATAAGTAGAGTGGGTAACTTCCCTATGGGGTGCGTAAACTATAGTTTTCAGACAGAAAGGCATTCATCATAAAATAGTTTCTGGCTATAACTGCTGGTGTGCCAGGTAGGAAATAAATGCTAAAATGGAAAGATGACTGCTAAATTCTTAGATGAGTAAGAACTATCTGCAATCTTGATGTTGTGCTATGTCAGAAAGACAGAAAGAAAGAAATAATCCGCTTACTGACTTCAATAACTAGTGTCCACACAAGGAATTTTTCTTAATTTTAGAAAATAATCTTTTTGCATTTTTATTGCTTTTGGCATTTCTTCCTTGTCTACATCTGTCATTTTGTGTCCGAACGTGTGGCACACATGCGTGTGTGACAGAGCAGGTGCTTACAGAGGAAAAGCAACCCATGCAAGTGGAAGGGAAGAGTCCAGGGAGAATTGTAATCTGCAATCAGCTGCAAGCTGAGCTAACATATATAGGGAAGATGGAGTCTGTTAAAGAGTAGCAAGGCAAACGAATTCTCCTACCATTGGATGAAACTCWGCCAGGGCTTTATAGACACATCAGAACTTAAAACAAACTTCTCAAATTTGATTACCTCATTGACTAGTTGTATTTCTTTTTGCCTAACTGTGCCCTATGTCTTGGAAATACCTTACCATCTCCTCATAATTTATACAAATGGAGATGATATGTTTCACAGAGCTCAAGTTTGTCTACATTCAGCAGTATGAACACATGGAAATAGGTCAAGTAATGTACTGGCTTTTACCCACTCCTTGGTTTGGCTGGTTCACGTACAGTGTGTGGATATAGAAGTAGTGCTTGCCAAGCCACATTTCTCTAGTATARTCCAAGCCCATTTTCAAACAGAAACTCTTTGCCTCAGAAAAGCTGTCACTCTACTTCCTTCTCTAACAAAAAAACATGACGATGTCTTCCAATAAACTATTAATTCTTCTGCTTTTGGTTCTTTCTCTTTAGAAAAAAACAAATAACTGGGTAAAGCTCCCTTGGTAGTAGTCTCTAAATCAAGATATGGCTCAAGCATTAATATGAAAATGCTATGAAATTCTGCTTTGTGAAAGAGAAGTCCTGAATCTCATCCAGAAATGACACTTATCCTTGGACAGATGCACAAACTCTCACTGCTGAATATGCAGACCAGCATGCTAGGTATTGTCTCCATAGTTGTAACCATCTTATTAATAGCTATGTTGCAAAATCTTGTGCAGATCTTGTGTGTGTGTTTTTAAACCAATGTCACAAGTGTAACCAGTTTCCTGTAACAGAGTGAAGGAGAGAGGAAAACCATTTCATTTCAAACCCTCCAGCAATGTCAAGTGAACAGACCTTAATGATCCTGCATTTTTTCTTAACRTTTCCCTTACTAATTGGATGAAATCACCTACCATTAACATTTAAATAGGCCTGCTCCCAAGTGTGACAGGAATTTTCCTATAGCTTATGACGAGAACCCTATGAGCTCTCTGTTGGCCAGATACATTTATACTTGGAAAGATGTAAGTGAAAAGTCATCCCTACAATGTGTGTTGATTATAGTCAAGAGAGGACAGTTATTGCCTGTTAAATATACTTTAATAGAATTGTGCAAAATTCTAGAATTAAAATAATCTAATCTCATGTCCAAAAATAAGTGAAAGGACGTACTGATTTGGTATTTCAGCTGACCTAAATGAWCTCCAATTGTTATTTTCTCTGCACTTTTCAAAAAAGAAGATAGATTCTAAAAGTACRAGAGTTGCGAATTGCAATTTTAATGAAAGCTTTCCTTTTTGACATACAACCACCATTATCAACTAAAATCTGCATGAAGCTGTGCATTTTATAATTTTTAGATCAATATAAATTTCATAGTTTGCAGAGGAAAGTGGACATTTGGGGAAAACACATGATGATAAACACTACATTCATTTATAAACACTACATTCATTTACAACTTTGGAAAGAGTATTGTTTCTGACCTACTGACAGGTGTTCCAAACTGATGTAAGACATCCAGGAATGGGAGATGTCCACACCCATTGAGGCTGTTGCACTCTAGTGCTCACACAAATAAAAAGACAATTAACTCTTTGAAGCCTAAGGATAATCATTTCTGGTGACCTCTAGTTCACAGATTTCTGTCAACCACTTATCCCATCTCTAGAGTCTTGGTTTGCATTAGTAATTATCAGTTTAAAATAGACTCCTAATTGCAAAGATTTAATTAAATGTAACCATTATGTGTGGCATGACAGCAAGGTTGAGTGGTCCCTTAGTGAGTCCCTTAGGAATGCTTTCTCTGAAGACTTGGCTGTCTTCATCATACATGAGTAATTCTTTGCAGGCTTAGATCAGTGCTAGCATAGTGCAAGAGTATGGTCTAAGTGCTTCTCATCTAGTGACTAAGTGCTTCTCATCTAGGACTGAGACTATCCCAACTGAGTCTACCTAATGAGGATGGTCTAGTATGATTTCTTCTTTGAGATGCTCATGGCAGCTCATCATACGGGCAAGGTCCCTGGTGACACTTGGAGATACTAGCCATATTTTGGGTACATTTGGAAATTACAAGTCTCTGCTTGGGCAGGGATAAGGGGAGTGGTTTTAATGGTGGAACCAGGCATATATGGCAGCACAGGACAAAGAGTTATGGGGCCAACAAATACTTACTTGTGAATGCTCTTAAAATGTGCCCTTGCAGGCATTTCTTTTTGGTCAGGCCAGTTCTTGTGATCTCAACACCAGGATAGAGCTTGGTGCTGAAAATGTGCTTTTAACATGCATTTGCTTCTAAACTTAGTCCTTCTTTTAACTGGAACACAGTCTCCAAGTTGTATGGGCATATCCAGATGTGGAAGGTTACTTGGATGAGCTGAAATAAACTGTCAGGGCATGGAGTTTGTTAATAGTGCCTGCAGACTGAGTATATTAACCTATTTATATCTCACAGAGACAGTAAAATCATCCAGCTCATTTTTTGTTTTAACAAGCACTCAATAGTATGCTCTTCTGTTGTTCTTACAGCTGATCATGATTTTGTTCCCTTTCCATGCTGACCATCTTGTTTTTGCTGGGTAGGATTTTCTTTTTTTTGTTGGTTTTCTCAGTTCTGCAGCTGATCTTTTTAATGAGGCTGTAATATTAGTTTCTTTTAATATGTTTATACTGAGATAAACTGGGAAAATTTGTGTTTACATTTTGCAATATCTTTCTTGTAAGCTGAAGTAAATGAATCTTATTTATGTTAACTGTATTTTTATTCTTTAGTCACAGAAAAGTGGACATTTCAAGGGAGCACCCACAGCTCATGGCTCTTTCCCCAGCTCTGCTAGGTGACACATTACTGCTAGATGTTTTACTTCACGACCGTTATTTATCAGACTAGATTCTTTTTTACATAAAATTACGTTAAATACAGATATATATTTACCATACACAGATGGTATTGAGACTTTCCAGCTATTGTTACGGTAATTGTTACGGTAATGGATTTTCTTAATTGTAATGAATAATCACGAATCACACAGAAACACAGAATGGTTACAGTTGGAAGGGACCTCTGGAGATCCTTTACTTGAACTCCCCTGCTGCAGCTGGGACACTACAGCATGTGACACAGGGTTGCACAGATTTTGAAGATCTCCAGAGAAGGAGATTCTACAACSTCCCTGGGCAGCCTGTTCCAGGGCTCTGTCACACTCACAGTCAAGAAGTTCTTACTCATATGGAGATGGAACTTCCTGTGTTTCAACTTACACCCCCTGCCCCCTGTCCTGTCACTCACCACCACTGAGAAGAGTTTGGCCCCTTCCTCCCCACATTCACCCTTCAGGTATTTGTACATACTAATCAGATCCCCTCTCAACCTCTCTTCACCAGACTAAACAGGCCCAACTCAGTCTTTCCTCATACGAGAGATGCTCTAGTCCCTTAATCATCTTGGTTGCTCTCTGATGGACTCTCTCTAGAAGCTCCATGTCCCTCTTATACTGGGGAGCCCAGAACTGCCCACAATAGCAATGGGGGCGTCCCCAGAGCTGAGTAGAGAGGCAGGATCCCCTCCCTCGACCTGCTGGCAACACTCCTCCTGATGTAGTCCAGGATCCCCTTGGCCTTCTTGGCTATGAGGGCACGCTGCTGACTCATGGTTAACTTGTCAATCAGGACTCCCAGATCCCTCTCCGTGGAGCTGAATAACACCAATTTTATTATGAAAAGAAAACATATATCAAAACCAAACCAGAAAATGAATCTCTCTTTTATTCCCCAAGGGATTTCTGGTGTAGGAAAGAAGATGCTTTATTTTCAAAACTGAGAATTTTAACTGCAGTGTAGAAAAAAAAACAGGGAAAAGGGAATTTAAGTGGATTGCACTTTGAATAATGGGAAAGGTAATGAGGACAGTAGCTCTTGTGTTTTCCTATAATGAAGAAATCAAAAAGTCACCCGATAGGGGAGCCTGAATGAGTCCTAATACTGCCTAGTAATAGTCTCTGGGCCTGTCTCTGGAAACCACTGTGTGTGTGTGTGTGTGTGTGTGTGTGTGTG